AGCAAACGCAGTTGAGCCATTGGAACGGCTACACTGTTCATCTGTGGTCATATCCTGACCAACTCATCACTAGGCATTTTTCGCGTTGATTTATGGTGCTATCAGATTATCTAGGCACCTCCGTGCACCATTTCCAAACCTCTATCCTTATTACAGGGTCGAGATGGAACGTGCAGTGACGGTCATAACCGGTTTATTTATTTGCAAGGCGTATGTCACTGAGCACGGAATAATAAACAAGAACAATAGCTAGTCTATAAGTTACAAACTATATTTCAAGCAAAATATATGTTAAATATATAATGGAGCACCCTGCTTGCCAATCAGTCGTTATCCAGAAAAAACAGCATCAAACGGTGTATTTATGATCAACACAACACACTGCTCTGTTGCATAGATATCAGCAACGACGGTTTTGCCCGACTGCCCCCAGCCATTGAGATCATCTACAGAAGTAACTAATTCGTTTAAGCCATCGGAGCTTAGTCTACTATCCGGTGGACCAAAGTAATGAAATTTGTATAAATAAATCATATTTTATGCTATATTTCGTTCTTTATGTTGTACTTAACGTTTTGTATTGTTCTTTGTTAAATAATGTGCTTTGTACTACGAAATGCTTTGTATTTTGTTTCGGAAATAAATAAGAGAAAAGTTATTGTTATTATTATATACTTGCTCGCCGTCTCCAGCTATTCTGTTTTTAAAACGTGAACCTTATATAAGCATTTTTCGATAATATTTGCAGAAAACGTTTGCCAATCTATAAGACAGCATGCAATATTTCGCGCCATTGCAGCACGTTTCCTGTAGCTTCATTAGAAACAACTAAACCCGATTCAATAATTCTTGAAATGTACGGAAATTTGATAGCTGCAATAAAAATTATGAAGAAAGAAAAGATAAAATCTCCGTTTTTCGACAATGAACCTTTGAACTGCTCACTCATTTCATCATTTATTGATTTGCGTTGCTCACCATTCGCTAATGTATGTTTTAACTTTATTCCACTCCCGGATTGTTCTGAACTAAAGAAACAAGCGGACAAAATCCCGCTGATTAATCGTGATAAACAGACTCGTTTTCCTAGGAGAGCAACGAACGGTATAACCTTCATTGTTGCAGTGAACTTCACATAATATCAGTCACAGAAATTATTTCTAAGAATCAGATGTAAATCTGGATTACTTCGATATTCATATTCTGATGGTCTTTGATGACGATGACGAAACGACAACTTTTGTGCCATGCCTTCAATGACACAAAATATTAAAACAACAAGTAGATTTAGCTTTGATTCTCGTTCACGATCTGTGCTTACTGAAGTATATGAAAATTTCTGTGTCACACACTATTTGTTAAAAAATTGACCAATTATGAAAGCAGAAGTCACGAAGGTGCATGTTTAAAATATGTACTATTTCGTGTTCATCGTACCATTGAAAGCAATCAGTGCGTAAGGACCGATGAGGGACGTTTTAAACATTCATACGACGACCTGTGATCACTAATATTCGACTGTTTCAATACTGTGAAAGTCTGATGGCTGGACTATACGGGTAACTTCGCCAATGTCCTCCACTTTCTTTCATTCTCGTGAAGGTCTGAACTTGGCAATGATTGAGTTCAATTCCGATATGCGCAAACTGGTTACTGATACGAATACTTTCTCATCTAACTATCAATTACAGTTGAATTCTGAAAATTATGGACATCGATATTTCGATATTGTGAGGGGTGATGCAGGCGAATTCCTTGCATATTCAGTGGAATCCTCCATGGAATCCGAACTGGATAAATGCGGGAAATGCGTTGGAATTCTTTGCAAATCCGATGAATCCGTTTTACGATATAAATTGCCTTAATGAACAAGTGAGGGTTCAGCGTCTCGCTCCCGAGGTCTTAGCGTGAGTACACCTGTGCCATCATCAGCCGCTCATTTGTAGCACAGAAATGTTTAGACGTGCACAGGGGATCGAGTACGCACTGCTACATGCAGCAGAGCCGTTGTTCACTATCCGTAAACAGTACAGGAATTCTCCAACCTCGGGTATGTAGTAAAACTGCACTTGTTTTGTCTGACTAATGCTAATTTTTTCTAATTGTTTTTGCTGTTAGTGCTTTTTGTACTATGTTAGATATCATGTTTATATGAAGTACTGTACTGAAGGAGATGGGGCCAAAATTTAGTTTAGCATTTGGACATTTGCTGCGCGGAGCACTAGTTATACGCTGTTTAAACTATTAAGTCTCTCACCTCGCGCCAGTCATGTTTGCTCATCGCGATTAAAACCATGTCCGGGTTGATTAGCAGTCAAATTATGTTTCAGAGTAGTAAAATAACATTATTCGCCGTATTCATTAAGAAAACTGTTAAACTGTGAAAACTGTTTGGGTACCCCCCCCTACCCAAACTGTGAATCTCTGACTGACCTCCATGGGCCGCTGAACAGATTTTGTAATGTTTGTAAAACAGTGCAAAACACTAGATTTCAACTTATCCAAAATGCTCGTGAGTCGGCTGTGATTTTGTTCATAGTTCTCTATATGGTTTTCCAGTTTCTTTTTAATTTAGTTGAATTATTAGTATTTTATTTAATTTGCACAAATTTAATTTTAAAATAACTTTTTCAGTAATTTGTTCAGACAGTAAATTTTGAGTGAAAATGACAATAGATTAAAAGATGACGCATATCCGCAAAGCATCACAAATTGCGTTTTCTGTAGCACGCACAGTAGTAGTAAAGACTTGTTATCAGTCATGAAATCTTCAGCTAATGGGTCAACAGTGGCCAGAAATGAGAGATGTCGGGTTGCTTTTATCGGTATAATTCTTCTGGGATAAGATTACTCTGATTACAGACCCGAGTAAGGAGATCGAAGGACATTGTCCTAATTTGCCCTCAATTTGGTGAGGCCATTTTACTTAATGTCTTTGGATCTGTGGATGCATGGGGTCAGCGCCGCTATTCGTCATATAAGTGTTAAATGCAGACATTCCATATTACTCGCATATCGTGAGAATGCTGGGGGTACCTTGTTTCCAGCTTACTCTGTTCGGATTGAATTCAGCACCCTGTTGTTTCCTGAGTCGACAGGATTATCCTGCTCTTAGACTGATCAACAGATTCTTGTTTAGTACAGTCAGACTAGTATAGTAATTGTTTTACGTACAGCCGTCAATGAGTGGTATACGCGTTGTTTATTTGAGCTGTCTTACCGCATTAGAGATGAACATAAAGACAGAGATGGCAGTAACATTTAAATCCATTAAGGCTTGGTAGCAGAATTGCCTAGACTGATGATATCTTATGATGATGATATAACACAGGGAGGCTTTTGGCAAAGTATAATATGTACATGCAATAACGACGTATAATTTACAGCAGAATTGTTGTTCCCCATCCTACGGCGAAGATGTGCAGACGACGATGAACACATTTCTCCTGCAGTGGTGAAAGAAGAAAAATAAAGGGCATTTGTCCTGATATCCAGTAGATGACCCTTATTTATTCCTATCCCATTCCTTAATAGAATGCTTCTTCTAGACACATGTATCATATAGATACTAGGAGACCCGCCGACCTTCATCCCTTCGATCACCTGCAATGTAAACAATACTTGAACGTCAATGTAACCCGGATTTGCGACGTCTAATCATGAAAAAGATCCTTAAGATGCCATTGCAGTTGGAGAGACAAACCTTCAAGCACATGTTGCTGGAGATGGGGGGGGGGGGATATGCTCCGCCGACTCACCGGTATGTACCCCCTACTTCGGTGCTCCCGGTTCCTCATCGCGTAGATTCTAAACGTAGATTTGAAGGTATCACTGTCTGGGATAAATCGAAGCTTGCGGCAAGGCTAGTCTCCAAGTTAAATGCCACTGCAGTGAATATGGTCCCCGCACTAAATATTCTTAATCTGACTTGCTCTGTTGCTTGAACATTTTTTTTAACTTAGAAATGGTGAGAAAAATCAGTCGATCTCGCATATTTAAATGTACAACATGCAAAGATCTGACGGGGGACCATTATCCAACAACACTGTTGTAGACTATTGATTTATTTTCAACCACTGCCTTTTAACTTGTCTTCTTTCTTACACGACCACCTTATCAGTGAATATTAATTGTACTTGTTTTCTAATGTTTTATTCTTTACATGCAAATTTTTTAGTTGTGCCGCTTGATGATTATTATATCATTGGTGGAACCGTCTACCAAGCCCCTGACTTTTGCTCAGTATTGAACTCGCGAATTCAGTCAGCGTTGAATCACGTTGGTGCTGCTTTTGAAGAGGGTAGCATTTCGACATTGATGGCGTCGCTTACATGGTGATGCATTCAACTTTTTTTCGTTTTAGCCAAATCGTACTACAGGTTCCATCCTTCGAAAGGCTATTGGTGGCAGTTCAAGGGATATTCGTCTATCGATTTGGGTTAGTACTGCACTTTTGGTTGATGTTTCAATTCTTCATCCTCATGATAACCCACCTGCATCATAATCATACTTGTAATCAAAAGCAGAATATCAGCTTATCATCTTAGGGCCAGTGGAGTCTTGAACAATCTCTGCAGCAACTGGAAAGAAATTACTCCTGACATTTTCTGTCATAC